GCTGTTGTGTGCTGTAAAGTGTGTGGTTTTATGTAGCACCTTGTTACAGTTGCATGCTATTTGAGTCTCATGATGAATTAGAGACACTTCATACAGTATAACTGACACACTTAGGTGATCCATTTTATCCATTCCAAGTGTAAAGCAACTACTACTGAATTGAAAGTTGCGAACTTACTAAACACTAGGTTAGCATCACTTTTTCAAACTGTAACATTCAAGAGAATGTATCCATTTCTAAATCTAAAGCAGTCGATTTAAACCCATTAGTCTTGCCATAGCATTAAGTAGAATATGAGGTTGCAGCTGGTTTAATGACTAGGGAGAGGGAGAGAAGAGTTCCAGGCAGCACTTAACCAATGGACATAAAATCTGGAGACAGTGTGAGACCCTAAGATGGTAGATTAACGGTACCCTAAAATCCAAACAGTGCTTTGGTGCTGTTCAGTGGAAGTATTCAGTAACTCATATTTACACACTGTGAATTAACCATCACAATTCTTGCCCTTGCACCTGTTTGTACCTTCTTAGGGATCCAAACTTTTGTTTAAAGCTATGTTTGTTGTTGGTTATTTCATTTTCCCAAATTCAAACTGGCGAGGGGAAAGGCCAAAATCAGCTGGTTGTCAAAGTACGGAACTGTTGGCATTAATTCTCAGGAGGTTCATTGCAAAAACCCTTCAGAGAATCCCCGACTTCTGAACGTGTGTTCAAGTTGTCAGCTGGCTTTGTTCCCTTTCGTAAGAGTTGACCCGTTCATAAATAGTGTTGACTTTTTGTTCTCTCTCTGCAGAAGATTTTTTTGCAGTTTCAAATCAGAAGATTTGGAAGTGGCCTTCTGGTGTTTCTTTATTGAAAGCACCACGGGCTTAAAATTCCGAACTCTCGAACTCAGGTCTGGGAGGCTTGGCTCAGCACAACACTGGCCAGAATAAATATTTATTCTACTGCAGTGAGGGTGGAAAGAAATGGGAAAAGTAATCAACATGTGAATGTTTTCTTTCTTTGTTTAGTATTTGGAGAGTATGCATTGTGAGTTTCTAGAATTTATTAGCCTGCCCCACTGAGAATTAACCTTTTTCATTTTATAAAACCAGCATTGCTTCACATCAACAAAGCACTCCCTCAAAGCCTCTAATTGTTGCAGAAATGTTTCAATTTACAAGATTGCCTTATCTCAACCCATTGCAGCAATCCTTGTCACGACCTTTTGCTACAATTATGGAATGGGTTAACTTGTTGCCAAGTCACAGTATTGATGGAGATAGTAGGAACTGCAGATGCTGGAGAATCTGAGATAACAAGGTTTAGCCATGGGGAATACAGGGTTACAGGAATAGAGGGGGTGGAGGGTTGAGTCTGGGTGGGATGCTGTTCGGGGACTCGGTGTGGACTTGTTGGGATGAAGAGCCCGTTTCCACACTTTTTCTGGAGAAGGGTCTAGACCCGAAATGTCAGCTTTCCTGCTCCTCTGATGCTGCTTGGCCTGCTGTGTTCATCCAGCTCTATACCTTGTTATCACAGTACTGATGGAACTTGAATCTGGAGGTTAATACTTAGATGACTCTAAAACTCAATAGAATGAGAAATCAAGGTGGAGTGGTGTACACTCAACATAGCCTTGCTTAGGAGTTTGTTTTAGAAGTTGTACTTGATTTCACTGTGTATTCTGCAAAGTAGCATTAGCTCAGCACTCAGTATGTGTGCTCATCTAGAGTCCTAAGAAGGAGAATTGAACAGATTTTGCAATCTGTTTTTCAAGAATCATTTTGTTAAAAACAAAGAGCCTGCATTGATGTAGCACCTTTAACTACATCAAGACATTCCCAAGCTACCTCACAGCCAATGAAGTACTTTCGAAACGTAGCCGCTATAAGGTAGTAAACACAACAGCTAGTTTGCACATGGCCAGCTGCTGCAAACAGCAGTGAGACGAATGAGGAGATGATGTCTTTTAGCTGTTGGTTGAAGGTGGACAGATCAGAAGGTCTCAGTAGGCATGATGTCCACCTCAACCATCTGCCGCCTCAGGCAGCTTCAATACAAGGAGAGGAATCACACTGCTCACAACAAGACTGTGTGAGGTTTGCTAAATTTGTATGGTTTCCATAGAATCCCTACAGTGTGGAAACAGGCTCTTCATCCCAACAAGTCCACACCGAGTCCCCGAACAGCATTCCACCCAGACTCAACCCTCCACCCCCTCTATTCCTGTAACCCTGTATTCTCCATGGCTAAACCACCTAACCTACACATCCCTGGATGCTATGGGCAATTTAGCATCGCCAGTCCACCTAACCTGCACACCCTGCAACTGTGGGAGGAAACCAGAGCAAACCCTGGCAACCTCCACACAGACTGTTGCCTGAGGCTAGAATTGAACGCAGGTCCCTGGTACTGTGAGGCAGCAGTGCTAACCACTGAGCCACCGTGTCACCCTGACATACCTCAAATCATTAAACTGCCAGATGAGGATGGATTAACTGGTTCCTCTTCTTTATTCACCTCCCCTCTTGGTTGGTTCAAATCAAGTTAACTTAAAAAGGATCCCTCCCCGAGGCCTTTCTGCCTGACAAATTGAATTTATGTTTTAAAAGGAGCAAATTTATTTTTTTTCTCCTCTAATCATCCTGTTCAGAAATATCAGTACACACTTCTGAAGCAGGTGGGACTTGAACCTGGGCTTCCTGGTCCAGAGGCAGGGACACTAACACTATGGTGAATGCGGGTACAATTACAACATTTAAAAGATATTTGGATAAATACATGAATAGGAAATGTTTGGAGGGATGTGGGCCAGGAGCAGGCAGTTGGAGCTAGTTTAGTTTGGGATTATGTTTGGCAAAGACTGGTTGGACCAAAGGGTCTGTTTCCGTGCTGTATGACTCTATGACTCTATGAGAGGCCCTCAAGGAGCGAATTTAACGAGGCTTTCTTGAGTAAGCCGAAGAGTAAGTTTATTGGTTAATAAATGTGAGAAGAGTTAATAATGCAGCACACATACAGACCTGTTAGGAATAAGAAGAGTCCAAAAAAAAAGTAAGTTAAGAGATTTACAGATCAGTTTCTCAAGGTCGTTTACGTAGAATAATGATTGTTGATTTGGAATTCTCGGCTTTTGCAGGTTAGTTGAATTCCTTTTGTGCTGTTTTCCTTTTGACGGTGATTAGCTGGCAGCACTCAGTCCTTGTCCTGTTTCTTTTTGATTGGCTTGTGCTTCCTCAGTGAGACAGTCTTAATGTCAGCAAAGGGTGACTAGTGGATGGTGCTTCGACTGTGACCTTCACAGCACACGAGAGCTCAAGCCCAGGCTAGTGTACACAAACCTCAGTTCACTTTTACACCTTCTACTAGCACGTAAACACATCAGGTTTTTAAGTCCTATGTTTGTGCATTCCTGAAAGAACAAAACACAAAAAATGTCTCCAGTAAGATGATATCTGCTGAGTCGGAAAAGATAGCAAACCCCTTTGTTATCTGTCCATGTCCAAGAAAACTTGGAAGAGTTGTAAACTGTGAGGAGGACAATGTAGTGCTCGAAAAGGACATTGACAAGCTGATGGAATGGATGGAAAGGGAGCAGATGGGCTTCCATGTAGAGCAGTGTGAAGTGATTCCTTTTTGTAGGTAGAATGTTGAAAAACAATATAAAATAGGTGATACAAGTGGAAAGGTACAGGGGACTTGGTGTGTATGTGCACAGATCATTGAACGTGGCAGGAGAAGTTGAGAGGGCAGTTAATAAAACATACAGTATCCTAGGCTTTATTAACCCGAGCTTAGAGTGCAATAGCCAGGAAGTCATGTTGAATTTGAATAGGACACTTATTTGATTCCAGCTGAAGTATTGTGTTCAGTTCTGGGCACCACAATGTAGAAGGATATGATGCCCTGAAAAAAAGTACAGAAATGAGTTGCAAGAATTGTACCAGAGATGAGAAATTCCGGTTAAGAGGATCGATTGAAGATAGTGGGAGTGTTCTCCTTGGAGAGAAGAAAGCTAAGAGGTTTGTAAGAGGGGCTGGATGTAGTGGATGGGGAGAAACTGTTCCCACTCTGAAAGGATAAGGAGCCAGAGGGCACCAATTAATAGTGATTTGCAAAAGAAGCAAATGCGAGGTGAGGAAAACCTTTCTCGCACAGCAAGTTGGCAATGTACGGAACTCACGGCCTGGAAATATGGTGGAGGCAGGTTCAGTTGAGACATTCAAGAGGGTGTTGATGATTACCTTATAGAATTAGAAGTAGGAGATTGGCCCTGATGCTCATTTGAAAAGCTGATGCAAACACGAGGGCCAAATAGCCGCCTTCTGTGCTGTAACACTTCTCTGACCCTGTTTCGGCCTTTTTTTTTGTGTTTGAAGTTTCCCTGACACTTTTCATGTGTGACACAGGACTTTGTCAGGCAGCATTGAATTTATATCCATAGTCTTTGTTTGGCTATAGCAGCCGTCTTTTTAAGAGAACAGTTTGGAATTAAAAGTGAAAAGTCTTTTCATGGTATTTCGAGGTTCTGATCCGTCATCAGTGCACTCTCCACTCTCTACTTGGGCATACCCCCTGCTTGTTTGTTCTGGGGTAGAAAACCATCCATGGTTGAAGAGAAATGCCAAGTATGTGGAGATCTGGAAAAGGTTGGAGAAAGGAGGAAATGAGAGATGATAAGGAATTACAATGGTTTGGGGGTGGGATGAGAGCGTGGTGAAATAAATAGGTAGCAATAAGGTGCCAGTCTGGCTTATTGGGTCAAATTCTGATCTCTGAAGCAGAAGGTCATGAGTTCAAGTCCTTTACGGCCACTTCATTGGCTGTAAAGCATTTGAGACATTTTCAGGCCATGAAATATGCTAGATAAACACATTACATTTTATTATACATGCTACATTTTATTTCCCTTTCAATGTGCTCATTTGATATCTTCACATAGGTCAAATGTTGTTACAAAAGTGAAGAGTCCATGCCACAATCCATGCTAATGTAATATTTTATTTTGCAGGTTTTATACAAATCAAATCTTTAAGCAGACATGGACATGTACGACCCACAAACCTTGGGCTTCATGGTGTTTGGTGGCTTCATGGTCATCTCTGCGATTGGAATTTTCTTGGTCTCCACCTTCTCCATGAAGGAAACATCCTACGAAGAAGCCTTGGCAAAACAGAAGAAAGAGCAGGAAAAGGCTCAACAGGCTAAATCTGAAAAGAAGAAGAAAGAAAAATCTGTAGAGAAGAAAGGAAAACCAAAGAAAAGAGACGAGAAACCCAATGGGAGAATCCCAGAAGCTGAGCCCGTGCAGGATGTCTCAGAAGCTGAAGTCGAAGTTGAACCTGTTATTGTGCCAACTATTGAGCCTCCTATTATGGCCGTTTCGTCTCCTCTTCCTCCTGAGTCTTCTCCCCCAGCCTCCAAAGAAAAGAGGAAGAAGGAAAAAAAGGTTGCCAAAGTTGAACCTGCCCCAAATCCTGTTTCAGCCCAGGCTCCAGTCGGCAGCTCATCTAAACAAGCTTCTGCACCTGCGGTGGAGATGGTTACTAGGGAAGTGCCTGTAATGGCAGTCCCACCCGTGGGTGCCCAGCAGGTTGCACCCATTGCTGCTACTCCTTCTCCTGGAGGTGCCAAAAAGATTGAAGCAACTGCCAACCAAGATGAAGCAAAACAAGATGCCCCAGCCAAGAAGAAGATTGCATCTAAGAAAAAGCCCGAGCCCAGTGAGTACTTGAGCTTTCTTGTTTCCTGGTGTGTAATTTTTCACTGTGTCAAAATGGATGACATCATCTCTCTCACATCTGTCTCTGTCATCTTTGGGAAATGTGTTTGGAAATGTCTTGGACTTTTTACCCACTCTCTGATAAAGAAAAGAACTTTCATTTATATGGTACCTTTCACAACAGTAGAATGTTCCAAAGCACATTACAGCCAATGAAGAACTTTGGAAATATAGTTATTATTGTAATGTCAGATACGTGGCACCCAAGCAATGTGCCAAAACAGTAACGTGATAATGGCCAGGTAATCTATTTTGTTAAATCTTGATGATGCCTAAATAATCATCAGGACACTGTAAATTCCCCTGCTGTTCAGATTGGCAATTTGGAATCATTAGCATCTACCTGAGAAGACAGGGCCCAAGTTTAGTGCACGATTGGAAAGACCACTGACTATGAGCATTCCCTCCGTATTGCGTTGTTAGCTTGTATTTTGTATTTGCCTCTGGACTTAGTCCCTTGACTTTCTGAGATGCTACTAACTGTACCAAAGCTGACCTGCATATTAATCTTTTACAGCAGAACATTAATTATCTGCCAGACCCAACATAATTGCTCTACCTATCATAAGCTGTTTTCTTTAAAATATTTAATATACCAGAAAGTTGATATACTGTACCGTGTAATACATTTGTTGCACTTGTTGAAGTTTTCTTCAATGAACCTGAGCATTTTTACAAATTTCTGCTGGCATAATTTAAAAAGTTTGCGCCTAACATTATCCAACTGGAAATAACATCCAAAGTGCAAAGTATGGAGGAAAACTGGCGCTCATAACTTTAATTTTTGAATGTCTTAAGATGCGTTGTGAGCACCCGCCACAATCTGTTTATTTTGATCTTTTAAACTGAGAAAAACATGGCTATCAAGCAAGCTTTTGCCAAAGTGGCTCCTTCAAAATTAAAATTCAAGATTCGTGTAGATATAACAGAACTGAGAAAAGCATTGAGAAAATATCAACTCTATGGACAGCCCAGCAAGAATTCCAATCAGTAGGCCAGCTAGTGATTTCCAGAATGTTAGGAATTATTATCAATGCAAACTCTTCCTGTCTGTTGGGATTATTTCCTCAAGTTTATGGTGAATCTACTGCAAGTATTAAAGAGCAAAATTCAATTTTATTTACTTTGACGTACTGTCCATGTTCAGTGGGGTCGTACTCAGAATTACACATTTCAACCTGGTTACCATAGAGGCATTAAGCGTTTATTCAATTTGGGATTGTCAGCCATGGCACAGTGGGTAGCATTTTCTTTGAGACAGAAGATTGTGGATTCAAGTCTCTCTCTAGAGTTGCTAAGTTCACATTATCCTAGAGACTCATTACTGACGCAGATGGAAGTGGTTGATTCTTGTATGTCTGAAAAGGGTGGTGGCTGTTTTGTGACAAAGTTCTGCAAATCCTCATGAGTGAAACAAAATGGTGTGGGTATACTGTTTATCCGATCTTCTCAAAAATTGTTTAGAAGTTCTACCGTTTGTTAATCCAATGGAAGTAATCAATCTGTGCGAAATTATACACGGTTAAAATAATGTATTTTCAACAACAGATTGCAATTATGTAGCACTTTTGAAATATAAGGAAAACCCAAAAGCTTCACTGCTGTATGGTAAAGCTTAGTCTAACTGTATAGTGAACAATTAGGATGGATGATTAAACATTTAGAGTCACTGAGTCATTGAGATGTACAGCATGGAAACAAATCCTTCGGTCAAACTTCTCCTTGCTGACCAGATATCTTAAATAAATCTGGTCCCGTTTGCCAGCATTTGGCCCATATCTCTCTAAACCCTTCCTATTCATATACCCATCCAGATGCCTTTGAAATGTTGAAACTGTACCAGCCTCCACCACTTCCACTGGCAGCAGATTCCATACGCGCACCATCCTCTGCGTGAAAAACTTGCCCCTTAGGTCCCTTTTAAATCTTTCCCATCCCACCTTAAACCTATGCTGTCTAGTTTTGGACCCCCCCACCCCAGGGAAAAGACCTTGTCTATTTACCCTATCCATGCCCTTCATGATTTTATAAAACCTCTATAAGGTCACCCCTTGGCCTCTGATGCTGCTCCAGGGAAAATAGCTGTAGTCTATTCAGCCTTTCCCTAAATCTCAAACTCTCCAACGCTGGCAACATCCTTGTGAATCTTTTCTAAACCCTTTCAAGTTTCACAACATCCTTCCTATAGCACGGAGACCAGAAATGCACGCAGTATTCCAAAAGTGGCCTAACCAATGTCCTGTACAGCCGCAACATGACCTCCTAACTCCTATACTCAATGCACTGACCAATAAAGGCAAGCATACCAAACACCTTCTTCACTATCCCATCTATCTGTGACTCCACTTTCAAGGAACTATGAACCTGCACTCAGAGGTCTCTTTGTTCAGCAACACACCCCAGGACCTTACCATTAAGTGTATAAGTTCTGCACTGATTTGCCTTTCCAAAATGCAGCACCTCACATTTATCTAAATTAAACTCCATCAACCACTCCTCGGCCCATTGGCTCATCTGATCAAGATCCCACTGTACTCTGAAGTAACCTTTGCTATGCACTACTCCTTTTGCTAGCTGGAGGCCAAGGCTGATATAGTTTGGATGGGTTGATTGTCCTGCTCCTATTTTAGAATTCCTGTGGATCCATGTGTTGTGTCATGCTGCATTTAAACCAGACTTTCCTCCCGGGTGTCTTGGCCAATTTTTATTTCTCAACCAACATCACTAACAAAGAACAACTGCTGATCATTTGTGAGACTTCACCTTGTGCAAATGGGTTGTTTAAATTACAACAGTAGCTACACTTCAAGAAATATTTCATTGACTGCCAAAAGTCTTGGGACATTTCTGAAATCATGTTGCTATATAAATATAAATTCTTTCTTTTTCCAGTGGATCTTAAGTCTGATTGCAGGAGCGTAATGTCCAGTGAGTTCAAAATCAGAAGTTGCTGGAATAGCTCAACAGGTCTGGCAGCATGTGTGGAGAAAAATCAGAGTTAATGTTCTGTGTCCAATGACCCTTCCTTAGAACTGAGGAAGTTGACTCTGGTTTTTCTTCACAGATGCTACCAGACCTGCTGAGCTTTTCCAGCAACTTCTGTTTTTGTTCCTGATTTACAGCATCTGGTTTTGGTTTTTATGTCCAGTGAGTTGTCTTTTGCTGTTCTTTTCTGAGAATGTAAGGTTCCATTGCACAGGCTATAAGCGTACAGTGCTGCTTTCCTGCATTGATACAGTGCCACAGTTATACCTACAGAGTGAGCACCTTGCACTAAGTCAAACCTATTCACCTCTGAGAAGTCACTTGGATGGGATCTTTATAAGTAGAGTATGGAGCAGATTGGAGACTGTAGCTTGATCTTTTTCTTGTGTCAATAAAGTTTGTTGAAGGATGAAAGGTCACAGATGAACTCCCAGTTGCCTGCTTGGGAACTGATAATCCTTTCGAGACCACTTGAAACATTTTAGCCAAATGTGATTGTGCTTGTGTAGTTCAAAGAAGATTCCTTTCAATGTCGTTAACGTGTCGGGGTTAGGTGGGTGGCTTGGGTCATGCAGGGCTATTGGTCTGCTGTATAGAAATTTGGGTTTACACAGCACAACCTCAAGAGGCTTTCCCGGTTTTGTTTGCTGGCTTGGCATGACCCCGAGCACAAACCTATCCTCTCTCTCTCTCTCTCTCTTTCTCTCTCTCTCTCTCTCTTTCTCGTACATCTTGTTGGTGGATGGAAGTGTAAGTCCGATGGGTTGATGTCATCCCTCTTGGCTGCCCTTTGTGTTTGTTCATGATTGTGTGAGCTGGCCCATCACTTGCAAGGAAAGCTGTGAGTTTGTTTGACTTTGGCAACATCTGGTCAGCAGATGAATGGTGATGAAAGTTCATTAACCCTATAACTGCTAGTTGTTTCTGTAACTAGACGACCTGTGGAAGCGCTCAGATTGCTTTTAAAAGAAACAGAGAGTAAAAAAAGACATTAACTCCGCTCCTTTTGTGATCTTAGCCTGTGCATATACAGCCAATAAAATATGTTGTAACAGTGAGAGCCATCAAAAAAAAACAATGCAGGAAACTTGATCGAAGTTTTACATCAAGTTTCTGTGTACAGTATTGAGATGATTAATTGGATGTTCTGTATTTTTGAGTGGTGTTGTTTGACGATTAAATGGGCTCTCCTTCCATAGCTCAACTGGTAGAGTGGAGGACTGTAGTGTGTCACACATCCATCATCCTTAGGTCACTGGTTCAATTCCAGCTTGTGGGAGTCTACACTTCTTTTTTTGGGTGGCACAGTGGCTCAGTGGTTAGCAGTGCTGCCTCACAGTGCCAGGGACCAGGATTTGATTCCCATCCTTGGGCAACTGTCTGTGTGGAGTTTGCACATTCTCCCTGTGTCTGCATGGGCTTCCTCTGGTGCTCTGCTTTATTTCCACAGCCCAAAGATGTGCAGGTTAGGTGGATTGGCCATGCTAAATAGCCCACAGTGTCCAGGGATGTGCAGGCTAGGTAGATAAGCAAAGGGGAATGCAGGATGGTAGGGTAGGGTGGTGGGTCTGGATGGGATGCCCTTCAGAGGGTCAGTGTTGACTCTATGGGCCAAATAGCCTGTTTCCACACAGTAGGGATTCTGTGATTCTAAATACTGGTTAGGACACCAACGGAACTCGCCTCCCATTCTTCAAAATTGCACATTGGAATCTTTAACACTCGTGAGCAGACGTCTCTTCTGAACGATGACACCTTGGACAGTGCAGCAGTCCAATAGGACTGTGCTGAAATATCCGTCTAGATTTTGTGCTCAAGTCTGTGTAGTGGAGTTTGAACTTGGAACCTTCAGGATTTGAAAGGAGGGTGCAGCCAACTAAGTCAAGGTAGTCACCTTGTGGGGAACCACTGGACTAATGGAATGGAGAGTGGGAAGTAGTCATTAACACCCCAATT